TCAGCTTTCACCGGGGAAGGGGCCGGGGCTTCTACTCCACGTCCCCACCCCCAGCCTCTTACCTATGCTCTTACCAATTGGCAAAAGGAACCGAAGGTGCCAGTACCTGCTCTTGAAGTTTTGGTGTAGGCAGATAGACAGGGAAAGGCTCTCGGCAATGAAACTTGGTCAACAAAACTTCTGGGAGGAAAATTCTAAGGCTGATCCACCCTGTGGATAAGACCTTGAGCAGCAACAGACCCTGAGGAGATTGGACCCCTCTGCTTGAAGGAAAGTCCACGAATACCCTTGGACCTCTCCCTTAACCTGATTAACTTTAGTAATTCAGCCCAAAGAAGACCATCACCACTTCCAACCTCCCTGGTAACCTCCTTAGCAACAGACTTTTACCTGGGAAAAAGCCTCACTTGGAGGCAGGTTGGAGACACCCTATAAAGGCCACCCTGAACAAAGGAAGGGCACGCATACGCTGCCAGAGCCCATGTGCTGCTTGCGCCCACGTGGCCGAGCACATGTGGTGCCCGAGCACATGTGTCACCCGCATCTCCCCTCTTGAGATGTGGACTTTCATGCTTTTGTGTCTAATGCTGGGGTGTGTCTAGGGGCTCTCTCTGCCCTTGGAGAAGCCCAGATTCTCTCTTGAGTGCGTTACTCGCTCTCTCACACTATCTCTCCCTCCACACCTTCAAAAACCCTCCAAATAAAATCTATTTACTTCACTGCTTGTCTATTACTGAAGTTCCTTTCTGTGAGGCGAGACAAGAACCCAGTAACCCTGGGACCCAGGTAGCAGAGGTGGATGGGGAGAGAGTGACCATCTTTCTCCTCCCCACTACATATAAGTCACCCATGGGCTCACAGACATCAGTTTGATTAATTTGCTAGAGGAGGTTTAGAATTCCGGAAACCTATGAACTCACCGGATCACCAGTAAGTTATCCAGAAACAAATGGAAGAGATGCCTGGGGCCAAGTGTGGGGAGAGGCTATAAAGCACCCAGGGCATCACCACGCACCCCACGCTCCCCACGCTCCCCACATCTCCAGAGGTCACGACAGGAAAGGATCCTTCCTCTTGGCCTTTAACGGAGGGTTCATTACTTAGACACAATTGATAAAATCAGTGACCTTGTCATTTGACCTTCTGCCTTGAGGCCTCTTCCAACGCTGAGATCCAGTCTTTCAGCCCCACTGTCTATTGGTATTCCTTCCAATCACCATGCACCTCCAGGTGATTCCCAGTAACCAGAAACACCTGTAGACTCCACGAACAGTCAGTTTCCAGGTGGGGAGCTTTGCATCAGGAACTGTGAATGGGAGAATACAGAGGGAAAGCACTTGCCTTGAATGCAGCCGACCCCAGTTCAATCCCCAGCACCACACACAGTCCTGAGCACCATCAGGAATGACTCCTGAGCACTGAGTCAGGAGTATCACCACAGATGTGGCCCAAAACCACCTCAAAAGAAACTGTGGGTAGAGATCAAATAAGCAAGAGGAATCTATTCTCATCATTTGAAAGGCCAGCTATCAATTTCTTATCAATCACAATATCACAGTAGGTGTCCAGTTTATTTAGATCAGCCGCATTTACATTGACTTTGGGTTGTTCTACAATTCTAAGGTCTAGACCATTGGCAATGCACATGACCTTTGTCCAGACAAAGGCAAATTAATTGAATTGGATTCAGGGAAGTGATTGATGATTGCCCCGCCAGTAGATCTCTTTTGCATCCACTTGCAGATTCATATCAGAACTTTGATTTCCTCTACCTGTCTCTGTCCTTGGAATTCTCCATAGAATGGATGTAGCATTTTGCCAGTTCCCTCATTAGTTAATGCAGTAAGTAAAACCTCAGCACATACATTTTTATGAGAGTCATAATTACATCCTCTCTTCAAAATCATTCTTTAAAGGACAGTGGTGGATGGTCACGGGCACTTCGCTGGTGTCAGGTCAATACTATGAACTTTAATTCTATAGTGGCCATACTAGCTACAATATCATAAAGTAAATTTTAATAAGTAAAATTAAATTCTCCAACATCACAAACTAGAGCATTATCATTTATGACAGTGAGTCAACTGCATAAGTTTGAAATTTATCTCATACATTAAAAAAATAAAAGTCCCAGGTATTGCAATAGAAGATAAAGTAAACAGCACAGGAAACAATCATTTGAAATACATCTTTAATTTTGAAAAGGATCAATATCACTCTACAAAATATTTTGTTACAGGATTATGTAGGCTTAACCTGGTTTATATTTGTATTGATATGACATAAAATAATATTTTAAGTAAGAAATAGTAAGTCATTATAAAAGAAGTTTCTGACTTGATAAGACAAAAGGCTATAGGTATCTTAAAAAACAGCTCCAGAACCAAAGGAACTAAAACCCTCAAATTTGTTTCATATACAAATAAAAAATTCCAGTCATTAGAATCTTCAATCAATAAACTATTTCTATCACCACAGAAAAAGGAAATGCCTTTAAATTCAGACCCACACAACAGTAAGTAACTATAAATCTAGAATTCATTTCCACGGTTAATATCATCTCCCACCAGAAAGTCACTCTATCACTGTATCACTGTCCATCCTGTTGTTCATTGATTGCCTCGGGCAGGCCCCAGTAACGTCTTCGTTGTCCTAGCCCTAAGCAGAACTAGTCACCAATTGCTCAAGCAAACCACTGACCCTCAAATGGTCAAACCTAGGAAGCGTTGATCTAAATTGCTTGATTAAAATGCTAGAAAGCAGTAGTTCACCCTTCTCTCTTTCTTTCTTCTCCTCCCAAACTTAAAAGCAGAGTTGCTTGTCGTTAGTGATTTGGTGTGGGGGTGGAGGGTTGGTTTTGGATTCAGGGAGACACACCACTATGCTCAAGTTCTGCTCCTGACTCTGTGCTCAGGGATCAAACTAGTCGTGTGCAAGGCCGACACCTTTCCCCTGGTGCTATCTCTCTAGCCTGCCTGGAGGGTCGTCATTTGATGTCAGGCCATGGCGAGTCTACCTTCTAATTCAGAAGTCTAAAAGGACCATATCTGACTTTTCACGTCAAGCACCCTCGTCACACCTCACCTCCTGCCTTGTTTCTGTAGTCAGAAGAATTGTAATTTAAGAAAAGTCTCTCCTCCGTACACACAGAATGTTAATTTAACACTAAGTAATGAATATTTAAGGATCCTAATAGATGTGCAAATGAACAGTCATGCTGGAGCACCCCACTGCTAATGGGAATCAACCTTTGCATGGCTTGCAGAAACTCAATTTGGGTGTCAGTCAGTCTTCCGTTATTCTATTTCCTGAATGGAAAGCTCCGGAAGGCTGGAGTAAATCACGTGCCCACGGAGCCTGGGCACCCACCCCGTGAAACAGGGGGCGGGGGTGGAGGGCAGGAGCGATTAAGTAAGCCCTTGGTTGACTTTATTTCGTGGTGCTAATATTCATTAAATTTACCGAATTAAACTCTGGGTTCTTTATGGGCAGGGTGCCATCAAACAAATTTGAAAGGAATGGCCGTAATTAACCCAGCTTTCTTCGAGGGGTCGCAGAGCACCGGGTTCAGCCCGCCTCAGACTGAAGCGCTCCCCCGTGCACCTCAGATGATCACGAAAGGTGGACGGCTGCTTCTTTTAACGATGCAATCACAAATCTGCTCTCCTGTGCAGCAACAGGGAGTTTTGAGCATTATATTATAAGCAGTGCACGGAGCAAAGTCAAAAAGAGCAATACCAATTTAAGAGTCGGCTTTTATATCCTTTGCCTATCTGGTGAAGAATGAAAAGCAATAAAATCGACCGATTGATACATCATGAATGTTTGTTTGAATCTGGTCTTGAGCAGATTAAAATGAATACGATAACAATATGAAATAAAACATACGACAAAGTCTGTGACCCTACAAGTAAGTGCTGTTTGGAAGAACATTATTATTTTATCAGCTCTGACTGAAAACAAATCTAGTAAATAGAGAAAAAAAAACCTACTTACTAGATTTGTAAATCATATTTAAGATTCAGCATAAATTGAAGATGTGTTAATACCCCCATGGAAGGGTTTGTTTTTCGGACTGAAAAAAAAAACACCTAGAATAATAGATTTCATAAATTTTATAAGTCTGACCCTTCACCGTAAATTCTAAAAGGAAATAATTAAAGAGGGTTGGGAATGCTAACCACTGAGTTTTCATTAGAAACCAAACATTTATCTAATTGTGAGAAATAAAAGTGTCATCTCTTGGAAATCTAAATGAAACAATCCTGTGTTTTTCAGGATATTTCAAAGAAAAATACTCTAAATTAAGCAGAATTAGCATAAACAGCATAATGGCAGAACTAGCATAAAATAATCATATTATGATTAATAATTCTACTCAAGAAGACACTGGTATTCATTACAATTAATACTTAATCAAATACATTTTTAGAGTCAGAACTTTTAGAAAACAATACCATGGACTTCAAAAAATTCATCTTTGATGTACATAAATATTTTAATTTAGTGTTCAACTTAGGGATTCCATTTGGAAAGGAATCTCCAAACAAAGGCCATGTGTCTTCATGACTTGTGCTAAAATATGCCTATGAAGGGAAACAGCTCCACACAGCACACACCAGAATACAAATGCATTTGGAAAATGACAGTACACTGAGTTAAACAAAGGTAGCAAGTAGAGCTGACAATTAGTTACCAATGTGGTAAGAAGGCAGGAAGATAAATAACTCAAAATCACAGACAGTTTCACATCTTCCTTTTAACCCGTGGGGCCAACATCCTACAACTTGCTGTGTTTCCAGGATGAGCAAGAGGGAAAGGGCAGTATTAGGCTCCTGTCTCCTTTGACGATCTTCCCCTCCAGAGAGAGGCCAGCGCGGGAAGAGAGCGCTGAGGGTGATAAAAAAAAAAAAAAAAAAAGGCCCCTGGGTATTCCAGAGGGGAAGGCATCAGCCACTGAGGAATCCAACGCCAAATACCACTCATCCACGCTGCTGGTCAGCCACATGCAGAAATAACAGTGTCTTTGAGTTCCAAGCGAAAACCTCAGGCAAACTGGCCTGGGCTAGTTAGATCAAAACACTGGGTACGAGCAGATCAGAAACATGCAATTGTTTGGTCTCGGGCCTAACCGTCAGGAAAGAGAGCACCGGGCCAGTCCTAAGGCCGCTACTCTGAGGACACCCCACGGGTCAAGAATAGGACTCTGCATTTCGGAATCGCATCTCCTGCCAGGCCGCTCGCTCCCTACTGAGTTACGCAGTCACCCGCTTTTTCTGGGTCTTCGCCATCGATTTTAATCCACTTCTTCTCTATTTCAACCTGTTGTGCAAAAGTAAAACACGCGCGGCATTAACAGATGGAACGCAATGCAAACGTCTGTTCAGTCTGATTTTCCGGTGACGTGTTGAGGCCGGCACGCCCCCCATCACACCCCCCATCACAACCCCCAGCTGCAGCTGAGGAGCCCACATCCTCCCAAGAGCACTATTTCCCAAATACTGTCCCATTCCGGGCTGCAGGAACGATGTGGGGGAGACAATAGTAGCCTGGGGTGCAATGGGTGGGGGCATTTTCTGTTTATTCACTTTTTTTTCTTCTTAATTTATTTATTGAATCACTGTGGGAAAAGTTACAAAGCTTTCAGGTTTAAGTCTCAGTCACACAATGATCAAACACCTTTCTCTTCACCTGTACTCATTTTTCACCACCAAGAACCCCAGTATACCCCCTTCCTTTTTAAAGGGTGGATTTCAGGCAGGGGTGAGCTGAGAAATTCTGTTTCTGAAATGAGGCTGCTGGGCTCAGATCTTAGAGGACTCAAAGTTTCCTCTAAGTCAATGCTCTTTCTACTACCGTCTAGGGAGCAAATATGTTGACAGGACATTTGCTGCTCTGCCTAGACCTGCGCTCATTTATATCCCCCACAGTCTGGCCAGCTTTAACCCACCTACCAGTGATAAAACAAGAGAGTCGAACATTAAGGAATCCCAACAAGTCAGTTTCCAAACCAGCAAATGGGCTGTTCCTTCTGCCCCTCTAATCTTCCAAGTCAGTTTCAGATCATCTCAGCTCTGGAGGGCTCCACACCCCCAGGGAGGAGGAGCCCTCATCTCTCCCATTCCCCCAGTCTTTTCTCTTCTTAGAATCTGTCGCTATTTGAAAACGTAGCGCTTTATTTATTCACTAATCATTGTGTTCTCCCACGGAAGGGCAGATCAGGAAGGACAAGGGCATGTCTGTGCACCTTGGGTCTCCGGCATCGGACAGCACCTGAAATTGCTCAAGAGAGATTTGCTAAGTGAAAGGGAGCACTCTGAAACTGTAAGTGGGAAGGAGCACTCTGAAGCTGTAGGTAGGAGGGAGCACTCTGAAACTATAAATGGGAGGGAACACCCTAAAATTAGCTCTTTTTTGGATTTTGGGGTCACACCCAGTGATGCACAGGGGTTACTCCTGGCTCTGCACTCAAGAATTACTCCTGGTGGTGTTCGGGGGACCATACGGGATGCTGAGTATCAAACCTGGGTCGGCCGCATGCAAGGCAAACACCCTACCCACTGTGCTATCTCTCCAGGCCCTGAAATGGACTTTTACCAGCTGCTGGCTGGTCAAGTAGCAAATGCTACTGAAACTAAAGTGATTGGGCCAGAGCAGCGGGCAGGATGCTGGCCTTGCACATGGCTGAAATGGATTCAATCCTTGGCATGTCATACAGTTGCCTTAACCCACCAAGAGTGATCCCTGAATGGAGAGCCAGGAGTCAGCCCTGAGCATAACTGGCTGTGGCCCAAAAAGGCAACTGCCCCCAACCCCGCCAACTTGGAAAACAGGTAGTGACAGAACAATGACATCCTGCGTTGCATGTAAGGTGAGCCAAGGAGTAGAATCAGAGGCAGGCTGCAGTGCCGGAGTCGCAGGGAAGCAGTGCAGGGAGCCACGGGCAGGGAAGGAGGAGGAGGAGGCTGGCAGCGGGTGGGGCACAGAGGGTCACAGCCAAGGATCTGGCCAGAGAAGACCCACGAGGTTGGCCCTGCAGAGCTCTACCAAGTGCTGAAGACAAAACCTTCCAGCCTTGCATCCCTGTCATCAGCTGTCCCCAGAGGGAGTGTGGCCTGAAGGCAGGTCACTTCCCACTGCTGGGGGGACGGAGGCACCGTGGAGAAGGGACACGGGAACACAGCCGCCCACTATTAGTTTTTTTGTTTGTTTTGTTTTGGGGTCAACACCTGGCAATGCTCAGGGGCTACTCCTGGTGCTTAAGAATTACTCCTGGCAATGCTGGGGGAAAACGGGGTGCCAGGGATTGACAGTCATACGTACTGCTGCTCCAATCCTAACCCACCATTCATTTTATCTTTCCAGTGCCGGGTATAAACAGCTGCTCACGTAGAAGACAAAAAGGGAAAAAAGGAAAAGATCAAAAAAAACTAAACCTGTTAATCTGCCGGGTCATCTTTGTGATTTTTTAACATGTGATATTTTTCCATATTTTTTGATATGTGGCTTTGGAAACTTTTTCCTACTTAAATAATGTTTCTAAGCAAAACTCTTGTCACTGGGTCCAGACCCTCTGGGAATGATGTGGCGAGGCCACCTCTGACTTCGATGCTGACAAGGAAGATCAAGTTTAGGAAGAGCTGCAGTGCCTGCCACGCGTGATTCATTGGGCCCAAGACACAGAAGAGTTGGTTTAAAATTAAAACTGGGGGCTGGAATGATAGCATAGCAGGTAGGGTGCTTGCCTTGCATGCAGCTGACCAGGGTTTGATTTCCAGCATCCCATATGGTTTCCCGAGCACCATCAGGAGTAATTCCTGAGTGCATGAGTCAGGAGTAACCCTGTGCATCACTGAGTATGACCCAAAAATCAAAAATACATAAATAAATTAAATTAAAACTGGTGTGAGAGCTACATGGCATCTGCCAGGATGGCTCCACAGAACACTTGGGAAGGTATAGGTGGCTGTTTCATATGCAGATGTCTGAGTCTATAATCAAAGAGCGGTTGAGTTTAACAAGTTTCTTTACTGCAGGACTTGTGAAGGCTTTTATTTCACATAAATGTACGGCATTCACCAACTTAGTTTTTCCTTGTCTCATTTTATGGAACACATGTTCTGCAGAATGCATCTTGAGAAATGCTATTCAAACATACTTTTTTTTTTTTATTAGGAATAGGCTTCTGAAATGTGAGTCTGTCTTGGAGAGCTGACCGCTTCTGCTCCAGATCATCTCTCAGCTGGAGCGAAGGACGAGACTCACGGTTGATCCTTAAATTTCCATGGCTGGGCTCTTTGCTGGGTCTCACACACACAGTCACAGTGAAACTGGGACGGGAGAAATAGACAGCAGGGAAAAGCACCTGCCATGCAGGCAACTGAAGGAGGTTTGAGCCCTAGCACAGCACAAGGTCCCGCAAGCATTGCCAAAAGTGACCCCTGAGCACAGAGTCAGCAATAAGCCCTGAGCACAGCTCAAAAACCACACAACCATCATCCTCAAGCAAACCAAGAACATGGGGGTCAGAGAGACAGTAGGGCGCTTGCCTGGTGGGCAGCTGAGCAGAGTTCAATCCCTGGCACACCGTACATGGTCCCCAAGCCCCGCCGGGAGTTATCCCTGAGCTCAGAGCCAGCACTGCGCACGGCAAGGTATTGCCCAGAAACAAACCAAAAGGAAAAAAAACAGCTAAAGGTTAACAACAGAAGCTGAAGACAGCAAATATTTACAAACAAATCAGATCTCAGGTCCAGAAGCCCTAACCTGAACCCAGGGGTTGGGGTCGTACCTGGACGTTGTAGCAAGTTCGTTGCTGGACATGTTTCTGTGGCTGGACATCACTCTCCACCCCCAGAGACCGGACCTCAGTCCCCGAGACGCAGGTGTCCAGCATCACAAACTGGACAGTGGCAAACGGGTACCAGTCACCCGGGATTTCCTGGTCTGATCCAAGCTCCAGTTTGTAGGACAAAGAATGAGGATGATCGGGACCTTGAGGGGAAAGACAAAAATTTCGATTACTGAGATCTAGTCAAAGGAGTTCAATGGCTATAAAACATTTCCTTGACATTCAGAGTCTCCCCATCCCTCTCTTTAATAAGTGATTTCATTCACATTGTTCCCATGTAAATTCTGCTTCATCAACATTCCTAGCAACATTCATGACTTTGCACTTACTGGGGGAAATGTGTGTTTTTGTAAGTACTAGCTGTAACATAAGTATCACTTTATTACTAGATATGTGCATATATTAACTCCTAAAAAATGGTTTCGATTAGAAGTATGCCAAGTTTCTTTAATTAAAAGATGAGTAATATTTTTATTAAGCATTATTATTTGGCTACAATGTGCGTAGGATGTAGTAGTTCAAAGAACTCTGAAACAGATTCAATAAGCCACCACAATGACTTTTCATTTTCTTACCACTGTGTTTACGGATAAATAATGCAAAGGCCCAAATTAGATCATATTATTAAAAATTGTGACTATTTATATTTAGTGAAATTCTGTTCTATGTCACCTATTCCAGAAAACATCTCAGGCCAAGAGTTCTTTTCTCAGAACAGATTGTTCTTTATTACTGTAAATTATCACCCAGTCTCCTTAAAGCTTTGGGTAGAACGAATACACAGTATAAAACTGGGCACACTGGCTCGCGGTGTTTCATTTTAATATTTGTCCTCACTTAATTCCATTTGCCATTTATCAAGCTTCTACTCTGAAAACTCAGGCCTTATACCAGACTGAGGGAGATTTTCAGGGAGACTATATGACGTGTATGTGTTTTATAATGGAAAAACAATGTATGCTAGCACATGTCTACAATGAATATGGTAAATAAACTACTTCCATGTGCACTCTACGTATATATTGTACTTTTATGTACTAGATACTGCACGTGTTGCTGTAGTGACATGCCCCATGGTTCTGCTACATTGCCCACGGCATCTACATAACTAATGCTGCTTTCTTGACTTAAGTGGATGTGAGGGTAGTAATTTCAGAAGTCACATTCAATTATCGTAGCAAGGCGTAGCTGAGATAGAACATTCCCATCAGAATATAGCTTTAAGCACAAAAACAAGAGTATAAAGGATTTCACTTAATTCTGAAAAGATAAATTGCTTTTCATTGCTTACAGCCTGTTTCTTGTAGAGTGACTAATAGAATGTTAAGGCTGTAAAAGGCCTTGAGAAACCATCAAGCCATTAACCAGAAGAGGCTCATTAGCTACCTACACCCCCACAGCCCGTTCCCACAGGGAGGCCCACAGAGGCCCCTGGCAAGGGAAAGCTTCATTCACGCACGCAGACCCGTTCCCCTGATTGTCTTCTACCTGCAGTAAGGACACATTGAAAACTTCATTCAGACTTGAGCTGGAGCCCTAGGAGAGCAGGAGGGCCGCTTGCCTTTCACACAGCCCATCCACGTTCCACCCCCAGCATCCCATATGAACCCCAAATTCCAACAGGGGCGATCCCTAAGAGCAGAGCCAGGAGTAAGCCCTGACTGCAATAAATAAATAAAAACAAAAATAAACTTAATTGTGTCCCTAAATCCTTAATGGCAAACAGTTAAGATGATTAAAATTTGAGGGCCAGAGAGATAGTACAGTGGGTAGGGCGCTTGACTTACACGTGGCCCCCCCAGGTTCGATCCCTGGCACCCCATACAGTCCCCCGAGGACTACCAGGAGTGAGCCCTGAGTGCAGAACCAGGAGTCAGTACTGAGTATTACCAGGTGTGGCACCAAAACAAGACCAAAACAAAACAAAAAGATCAAGAATTGAACATTGAGCCCAGGCAGTTATTTGACAGGTGTGTTATCTGGTGTGATGACGGTCTCTCAGGAACTCTGTTTCCCCATCTGAACGTGGAGTGAGGGTGCTAACATGAGCCTGCTGGGTCCCTGTGAAGACACAGCAGCTGACACACAGCCACAGACAGGCGCATTCCCTGGGCCAAATGTAAGTGCTGAACACAACTGATTGTGAATCCAATATTATTAATTACTGTGACTGTATTAAAGAAAGGTTATGGTTTCTAGCCTTTTAGAGCTGAAAATAATCTTAGAGATCAAATAATTTGACTTTCACATCTCAGGGAAAAATTAGCTTGAAGATTTTTTGCGATTGAAAACTGCCCAAATTTGACTAGAGAGTTAGTATGAAAACTAAGGCATCTGCCTGGCCTTCCCTAGCACCACATAGGGTCTGAGCACAGCGGCTGTGGCCCCAAAAACTGGGGGAGGAGGAAGGACGGAAGGGAGGGGAGAAGAAGAGACAAGAAAACTACCAAAACTACCAAGATCTAGTGCTCTAAAAATGTTAGGAATAAAATCTTGCACCTGATTTTTTTAAATTTAAATGGTAATAACTCCTAAAAGATAAAGGTATTTTCCTTTCAAGTTTTCCGGGGTTTTACCAATTGCACGACTCCAAGAGACGTGCTCCCCTGGGCGCAGGTGTGACCTCCAGGTGCAGCCGCAGCTGGCCTTTGCGGCATTTATGAACGAATGAGGAAAGCTGTTATCTCGGTACTGACCAGCAGGGGGCAATCTCGGACTTTGGTAACCTTCATTCTCAAGCCTTGAGGAGGAGGGACCGCACAAATCCCAAATGCGCTCCTGATAGCAAAAGGAACGCAGAGGCTGGCGGTCTTCCCACAAACAGCAAAATCGGGGCTGGCAGAGGGGTTACAGTTTCAATCCCCAGCACTCCATGGTCCCGGAGCATGTCAGGTGCTCCCCTGAGAAGCAGAGCGGCGTTGGCCCAGGTAATCCAGGTCGGTCGGGCTGAGCGGTGCAGCATGCCCAGCCCTAGCACTGAACCTCTGACCCGCATCCCAGAGAATTGCAAAAGGATGAATTTCAGGCCTCCCTGAGCAACATCTGAGAGTCTCTCCCCTCCCCTCTGCCACCACCCACGCTGCAAACAAAGGGCGAGGCAAGGGAGGGAGGTAAAGATACCTGAGTTCTCCAACTCACTCCCCTTTCGAAGAATTCTATGCCACCAACGGCACCCCCAAGTCAGGACCACATTCCTCACTGCCTCTCCTAGTCCTTTCTCACCCCCTTCTCTGTCCCTTCTTCCTTCCTTCCTCGCTCTGTCTCTCATGTACCCCCTAGAAAGCAGGGGCTCAGGAAAGGCGCCTCTCTTCCTGGGCCCTCACCCATGCTTTAGTCTGAATCCTCTGCACTCCCTGCCCAACCCAGGCCTCTGTTTGGAAAGGAAAGAGCAGCCCAGGGATAAGGGAGTAGTAAACACTGACATGCTAGTGGAAGAGCAGAGTCAGGAATAATCCCTGAGCATCTCCAAGTGTGGGAAAGGAAGAAAGGAGGGAAGAAAAATGGAAAGGAGGAAAGGAGGAAAGGAGGAAAGGAAGAAAGAAAGAAAGAAAGAAAGAAAGAAAGAGAATGAAGGGAGAGAGAGGAAGGAAGGAAGAGAGAGGAAGGAAGGAAGAGGAAGGAAGGGAGGAAGGAAGGAAGGGAGGGAGGGAGGGAGGGAGGGAGGGAGGGAGGGAGGGAGGGAGGGAGGGAGGGAGGGAGGGAGGGAGGAAGGGACGGCAAGGAATAGCTTGAAGTTAACAGGTGAGGGTCTTGGGATGGGTCAGAGGCAAACAGTAGCTGCCTCCTGACCGGGAGGTCCTGAATTCGATCCTTGGTGCCATCCCATGGAGCAGTGAGATCCCTGGAGTGCCACACAGCCAGGTACACCTGAACAACGCAAGATCCATGTGCAGCCCAGTGAGCAGCAATGTGCCAGCACTGGCCTGGGCACGCAACGCCCTGACAAGCACCCAACTAAGCACAAGCACCACACTGGAGGGTTGCAGCACCACAACAGAGCACGACTCCCAGCCACCAGCTCTGACAAGGAGGGAGGTGGGGGGAGCACCATGGCCAAGCGCGTCTGCAGCCTCTGCTCAGAGGACAGAGGGAGGCAAGCTCTGGGCAGAGCCTGCACTGCCCGCGCACTCCTGAGCCCCTGCTCTGTGCCCATCAGTTAGCCAAACTGGCTCCTCTAGTTCTCCACTTGCACTTTCTCCACTTCTCAACTCACTTGAAAAAAGCAGTACTTTCAAGTCTTTAGACAGATAGACAGATATGGATACAGATATACAAACCCTTTATATACATGTATTGGGGCCAGAACAACAACAGAGCGTTTGCCTTGCACAGGGCCAACCTGGGTTTGATCCCGGCATCCCATGTGGTCCCCGGAGCACCTCCAGGAATGATTCCCGAGTGCAGAGCCAGGTGTAACCCCTGAGCACCACGGGGTGTGTGGCTCCCAAACAAAACCAAATCAAGACATACTCATGGGCACAAAGGATCAGTGTGCGTGCCAGAAGCCTGCATTCATGCCCAGGCCACAGGGTCCCACACACACTGTAGGCGGGACCTTCCAGCCAGGGCGGGAGCATTCCTGAACACTGATGGATGTGACCCCCAAACTGGAAAATTTTACGTGTGTGCGTGCGTGCGTGTGTGTGCGTATACACGTGTGCGTGTGCGCGTGCATGTGTGTGCACGTGTGCATGCATGTGTGTGTGCGCGTGCATGTGGGTGCGCGTGTGTGTAAGCGTACGTGTATGTGTGTGGGTGTGCGTGTGTGTGCGTGTGCATGTGTGTGTGCATTTATCTGAACACTCAACACTGTTTAGAGCTGCACAAAATCAGAGCAGCTTCTAAGACCCTGCTACTCTGCGTGTGGCCTGTAGGGGGCAGCACTGGAGTCACCTGAGCAGGTGAGGGGAAAGGCGCGCCTGAGTGTCCACTATAACAGGTGATCCTGCAGGCGGCCGCTTCCAAGGCACCCTCTGCGGCTGCAGACCCCGCCTCTAGACCCCTGTCTTCCTCCTGTGTCCTCTGGATGCGGACTCCCTGAGCACCCCCGACAGGCCGGACACTCAGCCGGGCCGCCTCCTTCTGCATGAACAAAGCAGCTTTGGGCCCAAATGGGTTCCTCGGTGTCGGACCCCCGCATAGG